TGTGGTTGTATTTAAAGGATGACTTAGGCTGTACAGAGAGAGAGGGTAGCCAAAAACCTGTTCCTCAGTCAGTCACAGTGTGCGTGGATATGGTTTAAGCATATGTGTGTGGATGTTGTTTAAGCACCCTTAGTTCCTCCTTCTGGCAAAACTCCAATTAGGTAGATCTCCATCCTCCGTTTACCTACAGTCAGGATCTGCGAGTGTCTGCTCTAAGTCCAGCTGTGCAAGGACTGAAAGATATTATGTCAATAAAAAATATATTAGGAAGAAACTTAAGTTTAGTCTATCCTTTAAAAAAAAAAGAGTTCTTTGCACTCTAGTAAGAAGCACATTATTTCTAAATAAATTAGAACCAGAACACAAAAGGATATTTACTGCTACATAAAAGGAGGAAATGAACTGAAAGGGCAATACGCTGTACTAAGACTATTTGAATATATGCATTTTTAATGACAGTTCTAAACCAGCAACTGCTCAATTAAATACAATCTGTCATGGTGGGGGGAGAAGGAGGCAATCAGGCTAAAGAAAGACATTTCATGATGAATGGTAACTTATCACTGACTCAAAGCGTGTGTGTGTGGTGTTTAAATAACATTAGACAATTACAGAAATTTAAAAATTATGAGCTTGTAAGTGGATTTCCTTTCTATTATTCATTCCTTTTTAGGCTGTTTCGGCAGTGCAGAACACACATTTTCCTTTATTTGCCCTTTCAATTCCTGGAGAATGTTTGTCTTTGAGGAAGTTAAGCAATAAATTTATATTTGCTTACAGTTCTCCAATAATTCTCAAGAAAACAGCTGAAAGCAAATCCTAAGGTGTCCCAACTCAGTGCTATTCAGATATTTAGGGCTTAATGGTTTTTTACCTGTTCAAAATTCCAGCTGCACTGCACACTTGTGCAGTTTTATGCTGTATAGTGCAGTACATTTAATGCACATTTTGTGGTCAGTTAGTACTCACTGTATGAACAGTGTTTTTCACATGCAGGAGAAGTCATAGGCATCTCATAAATGCATCTCAATCTAAAAATCAACAAGAAAAGTTTAAAAAGAGAAGGTAGCAAGGAGTGTAAGGGTAAAAATAAAAGTTCATGATGTTCCTGAGAGCTAAGGGCATCATGTGTCTTAAGGAGGACTGTCTTCTAGGTGCCAAAAGTTATAAATGATTGGCATTCAATGGAAAATGGAAGCAGGGAATAAAAACCTTTTTTGGGGCATAATCTTGTAAGTACACAACAGTATAACCCCATTATCATTTTTCTGCAATTTGGAATGTGTCTGTCATTAGCAAGACCAGCCAGCTTAATCACATTAGACCAAAGCTTTGGGGGGACATTTAAGTCTTCATATCCCTCAAGTGTCCTGATTTAATTGGGACATCCTGAACTTTCACAGTAAGTCGGAGTTCCAGCTGTCCCCGAACCAGCAGGCAAATTCTCACTTCACCTTATTGTCCCCTTATGCTGGCACTTTCCAGAGGGTAAACAGAGGTCTGATAACACATGGACACAGAAATGTCAGATGTCACTCTATTTAAATACAAAGGCATTTTAAGGTTGGTTACTTGGGCAGAACTGCTTGTGCATATAAATTGCCATTTCCACTGGATTATAAGCAAGAAAAATACTGGATTAATATACATGCAATTCAATTACACTTTCACTTTAAAACCACTCTAGGAGCTTCTGTTTTCCATGCTTTGTGCTTGGAAACAATGCTGATTTAACATGCCAAGTCCATTTACTTCTTGTCTAATTTCGATGATTATTTGTATGAAACTTACCGAGAATTTTTGACTGACTTTTTTTCATTAGAAAGTGCCTAGTCATAGAAATTTGTGCCAAGAAGTATCTGTTTCAATGACAGTTTGTTCAGGAAACATTTCTCAGTTTATGTAGTGGGGAAGAACATTTGGTCAAGAGTAGAAATAGAGCTTAGAGTAACCAAAAGCACACCAGAATGTGAGGCTTTAGCACTCCAAGGGTTCAATTCTAAGGTTTCTTATATTTTAAAAGAGGGCTTTCAAGCTTCTGTCAGATTGGAGGTGTTACTGTCAATTTTCTATGAAATATCGTTGGAGAATAGAGTCAAAATACACAACACACACACAAATTAACTTCTAAGGATCAGAAATTCACTTTATATGCAACTTCTGAATATTTTTATCTGTGAGATTGGCTTGTGTGCTCAGTTATATACCCTGGGGTTAAGTCCTGTCACCTTTTAACTACATGCCTCTTGGCAAAAGGCACTCACAGACCTGGAGCATGGAAATACAACTTCAGTATATCATGAGCAGTAAAAGATGTGAAGTACAAAGTGGAATAGCAACAAATAGCTAAAAATGTGGGTATGCAATATGGAAATATAGCCAAGGTGTTTCATCCACTGTTAATACAATGAAATTTCATCCTCGATGAATATCTTGTGACTGCTCATATTTCTTTCCCTTTCTGTTAAGTTACACCACATGTGGTCCTTTCCAACTGCACCGAGAATCACAGCAGCTTTGCTTTTTGCTCCCTGAGCGGCCACTCACACCACAGACATTTGGGAAGTGCCCACCCAGCTCAGTTTTGCTGCAGCATTTGTGCAGCAGTTCACAGGCTGGCGTTATTTCCAGGCTGCAGAGCTAAGTCACCCAGGAGCAGCTCCTTCTTTCCCTCCAACTGCAGCACTAAAAACATGCACACGCTCAGGAGAGGTGGAGTTGCTGCCTAGAGGGGATCGTGCCTCTTTGTGGCCACCTGCATAGCAGGATGAGGCGACAGCACAGTCACTATCCCTGGAGGAGGGAGCCTGCCCTGTCACAATTTCCAGCTGTGAGGTCCAGGGCACTCAAAGGATGGGACAGGTGAAACAGAGCAGGGGGGAGAGGGGGCACAGTTTTGCAGTCAAATCCATTAACACAGTCGTTTCAGATGTACTACTAAAGTCTTGAAAGCAGCTTTTTGACAGTACCAACTGGATATTTACTGCATATCTAGGGGTGATTCTGCTGCTGGGAACAGTAATTGCCTAGTGAAAGCAATGGTTGGGACTTTAAATCCCCACCCTGAACATGTTGATCCAGCATGTAAGGGGCCAGAACTCTTTTTCTTAGTTTAAAATATACAGTTTCTGTCAGGAAATGTTCTTCAATGGATAAATTATTAAAGCAGCTCAGTTTAGGTGGGGATTTAGGAAGCCTTCTCTAGGCAATGAAAATTTTCCTCTTGATCTGTGGAAATGCATTCCCCTGTTTTTTTAAGTCTACTCCTCTTCTGCCACTTTTACTCTTTTGCTAAAGGCTTGTGCTTGGCCATTTAACTTCCCTCATAAAGCATTTTAAATGTTTCAGCTCAGGATGTAAGGTTATATAATTCCTTGTGATGTTTTTACCTTCACTGATCAACCATGTAAGTGTAATATTTGTTGTAGATTATATTGCATATTCTGTTGCTTATCATTCTTTCTGTACTGAGTAGTCAATGTAATGATGAACTCCACTAATTAGTTTAAATAGGCCCTATCTATATTGTATCTATTACTTATGTTTCATTGCATGATCTAAAAGTAGAAAGCTGAATCTTTCCTGATGTCCTTTTTCTGCTTTTTGTATTGTTGCAAAGTTTGACCCCAAATCAGTCATGCATTTGTTAACCTAAGTAATGGCTAAAAAAATAAATAAATAAAATTTATTTATCTTATATATTAGAATCTTGCTATATATATATTAGAAACAAGCTAACTTGATTCTTCCTGCCCTTTGCCCTTTTAGATTTTCCACTTCATTTTCAGCACCACTATGTAAAAAGCCTAGTTTTTCATGAAATCACATTTTCTTAGATTGCAGTAGCTGGACATGAATATTTCTGAACTGTTCAAGATAATGGGGCACATCCCTGACCATATAGGTCATATTGCATGGCTCCCCTTACAAAGATAAGACTGTTCCACCTGCCTCTCAGCTACAAACTATGGTCTACTTTTATACTAAAAGTCATTAGAATAGAAGTTCAGGATGTCTGGTTTATGCATAAGCCTTGAACTTACATTGAAATGAGATGTTTTGATTCACAGAGGTCATTATAGGCAGTGACATCATCACCCATTGAATTTTACTAAGAAAGCTGAACCAGGTCCTAATGATCTCCTTCAGATCAATGGCTCTCCTTCAAATGCTGTGAATAGTAATAGGCATTTGTCTGTCTTTAAAGAAATCACCTTTGGTAAAGCCCCTGGCTGGATTTCTGGGGAAGTCTTAAACAAAATAATTTGTGTGATCCTGGCAGTTCTTCACTCTCTGAACATGATGGTACCAACTCTTTGCGTGCAGTGAATTCTGCCTTTCCTCATAGAGGGATACCTTTCAGCAGCTTAAATAGCTTCACTTGATCTCAGTAAATGAAATGTCTCGCAGGATGCAAGACATGAGTCCTCTTAGTGACAAGTGCAGGGTAGGGAGCAGAGTGTTTCAGCAAGAAATCCATGATGTTGATAGAGGAGTTCTTAGTCTTTGTTGGACTTGAATTGTGTCTCCAAACCATAGCAGGAATGGATTATTCCTGACCTTGCTTAAAAGCTTGATTGATTTTCTTTATATCAGGAATATGTGCATAGCAAGAAATGGTTATTGCTACAATCTAGTTCCAAAATTGCGGTTTGGGATCAATTAGTAGGTCATGAAGAGTTTCTGGAAGGATATGGCTCAGCACAGGTTCATAGTAAAGCATATTGTCTGTATTCCAAAGGTGTGACTGCCCTTCTGCTCCCTGGCAATAAAATACCCACTTCACATGGCCTATGTTGAATAGCTGCTTATGACAGTGGCACTTTTCTCTACTAAACCTGATAAAAATCAAGCTTTTTGGACACAACCCCCTTTTTTTTTTTTTCTTTTTTTTTTTAATTATTGTTAGTGCCAATCTATCTAGAAGAAAAGTGGAATTTTTCTTTCAGTTCAATCTTTTATGATGTTCACAGTATATGTTCACTTGATGTTCACATCAAATATTCTGCAGCTTCTTACTGTGGTTCACTTGAGAACACAGGACTTGTCCCTGACCGACACAGTAACATCAGACTTCCAAATTATTACATTCCAAATTTTCTCTTGCCCTTGAAAAAAAAAAAAAAAAAAGAAAGAAAGAATACCTGGATGTTTTTCCCCTCCAAACCAAGATCATTTGCACAACTATGCTGAAAGATACAATTCAAGCAAGTCACATTATTCACAAGACAGAAGTGACACTTTTCCTGAGTACTGTAGGAAGAGCAGGCTTTCATCTGCAACCTGCTATTTATTTCTATATTCCACACAAGAAACAGCCATCACCCAGCTCTGTGAAGAGTGCCTTAGCATTGCAGACAAGACACATCGAGGAAGAAGAAATTGCTACTGCTTTCCCAAGGAATATGCCACTCTTTACAGGACAAAATCATGTGATATGATAATGATGCAGATTATCTGAGACAGTCAGTTTGATGTATTCTATTCATCTCTTTGAGGTGTCAGTCTTTAAATCTAATGGTGACAGTCAAGTTTAGGCATGTTCTACAGCAAGACTTTATTCAGATTTCCCCTACCTGAACAAATACAAGAGAGAAAGATGCAACTCTGTACTTGGTATGGTTTCTCAAATTCTCTGTCCCTTCCCCAAGCTTGGTTCCACCCTTTTACCACAAAGCCCTCAGCAAGAAAGAATGTTCTTTGGCCAGACAGTAAAATTGCAATGAGGAAGCACAGTCCTTGTGAAAGGATTTTAAGAATTTGGAATTTGCTGTCAAATCCCATCCACTTTAATACATGCATGCATTGAAAGGCAGAATGATGATCCAAATCATGCATATGGGTGCAGTGAACACCAACCAGAGAGCAGTAAACGTATTTTTTTTTATTTTTTTTTTTTGTTATTTTTTTGTTGTTTATATTCTTTGAGCCGCACCTGCCGGCATTATAATTTCATGCACCACCATCAATGCAAATATATCTGTATTGAGTTGCAGTGAGAACTATGTTTTATTTCAATAGTTTCAGAAGACAAAAAAGGGGTTGTCTTGATCTTTTGAAAAACATTTCTTAGGAATCTGCAATAAACATCCTCTTAGTAAATGTTATTTGTCTCTAGGATACAATGCTTCCGTTTTAAATTAATCTGGATAGCTGCAGTTTTAATTGCTTCTGATAAGTTACCATAACTATCATTCAAGCTTATTTTGCCTGCTTTGTTTGTGTAGAGCAGTTTGTTATTCCAAGAATACCTGAAGTGATTTGAAGGAACATGCTGATCATTCTGTCTCACATTTAGAAAGCCATGCTGCTGAACATCCTTGACCTTTTAAAAAAGCCATCTGAAAACAAACGAACAAAAACATCACATGTATACCACATTTGGGTCTTGCTTCCTTTCTGCATTTTGTGAAAAGAAGTGAAGTGATTGGGTAAACTGGGTGCAAAATGAATAAATTATATTTTTTCCTTGGTCTCACCTTAATTGCCTTTGTCTGTGTGCAACATGACAGAGGTTTGAGTCATTCAGAACTGCATCTTCTATAATTAAAAAGAACTGTTACCAAAAGAGTAGATTCAATGTTCAGTCTGGGACTGAATTGCAGAGCGTGTTTAATTATCAGCCCTTATTTTAACATACTATTAATTCAGTTTCTCAAAATATCCTTTTCATTTAGAGCCATTGATGGAATAAAATGTGACACAATTTGTTTTCTTTTCTGCTAAGTAGATGATGTACTCTAACAAGAGCAGGTCGACATGACCTCAGCTGTAGTTATATCACATGATAACTACAATAGGACCTTATCAGAATCTGCTACTCTTTTATGTGCTTGAAAATTCAAAAAAAGAAATTAATGTTTGAGTAGGCCTTATCCACTTATAACAAAACAATAAAAATACGAACATAGCTATGAATTGCTAGATAATACCAGTCTGAGATTCTTCCTAGGTGAAGTTGCACATAGGAGAGAAAAAAAACTTATTAAGAGGAAGATGAGAAATAACTGCAAGAAGTTGTTTGAGTAATCATATGACTTTCAAACTACGTAGAAGATAGTATTTGATTATATTGTTGCCATTCAACCTTTTTTGTTTGTTTTTCTTTTTTCCTTTTTTTTTTTTTTTTTTTTTTTTTTTTTTTTTTTTTTTTTTTTTTTTTTTTTTTTTTTTTTTTTTTTTTTTTTTTTTTTTTTTTTTTTTTTTTTTTTTTTTTTTTTTGGTGATTATGTGCTTTACGCAGTCTTTTGAACTGTGATCGATTTTAAGTCCTTACTGGCTTTCTGAACTTTAGTGTATGGAGCTCTCACAGGCATTCTTAGCCTATAAGTTCACTACAATCTCATCTGATATTAATCGGTAGGACCATCTTACCATGAAACTCTTATTTTTTTACTCCATCCAAAGAGTCTCAAGATAGAGGTGGATATGCCTAATTTGGCTATGGCTTCCTGGCACCAGGCACACAGATAAAATTAATGTCTTTAGGTCCAGACTACTTTTTTATTCCCTCTGATGCAATGGAAAGCTGCACCTTATGGAGATGTCAATGATCGGGAGTAATACCATCTCTAAGTGCAGCATTTTGGGAATTACTCATTGTCATTTAAGCTCTCACAATTTTTTCTGTGCCATTGATAAAGATATAGTAAAATAGTCTGCATCCCAAAAATTTTGCACTCTGATGGCTGGATAATTCAAATGTCCTTGAAGAATGATCTCAGCTAAGGAGCTAAGTCCCTGCCCCACTCCCCTGACACTGAGATGAGCCATCTCACTGAAAAAGAGTAATAAACTCCCAATGCACCTTCTTTCTTTTCTTTTCTTTTCTTTTCTTTTCTTTTCTTTTCTTTTCTTTTCTTTTCTTTTCTTTTCTTTTCTTTTCTTTTCTTTTCTTTTCTTTTCTTTTCTTTTCTTTTCTTTTCTTTTCTTTTCTTTTCTTTTTTTCTTCCCTTCCCTTCCCTTCCCTTCCCTTCCCTTCCCTTCCCTT